TGGAATTGTATTAGGTGTCACAAGAGTTAGTCTATAAACGTTTTGAGTTTACTTTGATTCAACATGGTGAGTTTACATTTTATAATGCTTATTTTTTAACACACTGTATGCAAATTTGAATAAACATTAGTTTATATAAACTGAATCGCTAACTTTAGACAGTCTTATTGTGTGCCATGAAAATTTTCTGAGTGCAGAAAGATAATACATAATAAATAACGATAGAACTTCTTTGGGTGCTATATTTCAGGGATTAGTTTCCCTTTTGAACATTTTAGGATAACTTTGTAAGATCAGAAGTCATGTCATGACCAAGGAAAACTATATTCTATAACTATAATGAATAATATATATTTGCGAAAGTGTAATGTAAGATATTCATAAGTAACAAATAATACTCAAGAAAATATAAGTTTTTTTATTAAAAGAGAAACATAGGATTTGTATAAACTTACGGTTACGTGTGCTCATTTCATATTATTTCACAAACAGCAAATATTCCGATGGAATATTATGTAGATTTTGTTATTATATGTGTGTCACTCAATTTCTACTAAAATATCAGTTAGAGATTTGCGTTGAAGGGCAGGCACAGTAGCATCCTTTGCTGGATATCCAACTGGCAGTAGTACAACAAGCTTTTCATTCTGAGGACGTCCAAGAAGGTTGCGGATAGCAGGTCCACAATTTAAAGGAGTAGAAGTCAGAGTTACCAAACCTGCATACTAGTTTTAAAGTTCATATATTAAGATCAATATTACGCATAGGTACACAGTATAAGAAATTATAGTATTATAATGTTAATACTTGTATAGCGGTAAGGAGAACACCACACGCGATAGATGTGCTTATTTCATTGTAATAATGAACTTTTCTTTGTCCGTTTGGTAAAATTCCATATGTTTGCTTAAACACGAGTATCAAATAAGGAGCAGTAGTCAAGTATTCTTTTATCCAATTGGTTCTTAATGGAAGCAGATCTGTTGTCCATTTGATTCCCATTCTTTTTTTGTAATTTACTTCTTCCTCTGTTTCAATGATACATCGTATTTGCTCTTTCACTTTTTGATTTGATACCGCTACGAATGTCCATGGTTCTGTGTGTGCACCACTAGGCGCAGTGCCTAAAATAGACTCAGATGTATAAGGAGTTTTGTGAATGTAATTACATAATATTGTACCTGCAGCTTTTATTATATCACGTATGACTTCGTTTGGTACAGGGTCTGGACTGAAAAATCTTACACTTCTTCTAGCAGCTACAATTTTATAAAATTCAGAAGCTCGACAAAGCATCTCTACTTCTGAGGGTTTTGCGTATTTGTATGGAATATGTTTTAAGTCTATCGGTAGTGCAGGTTCCTCACTGTCTTCTAATGTTTGTTCACTGATATCTACAAAATATTATCACTTCAAAATTTTTGCTTTCAATAGATTAACGTACATTTCGAATAGTTATTGGAAGTATCTACTACTATATAAGATACAACAACATGGATTTGACATAATATTAAATTAATTTTGTATTCTAAATTACATATAGCTTTCAGTAACTCTAGCTTTACAAATCCAAGACTGGTGGCAATAATGTGGGGTATTACCTTCTAGCTGCTCCGTAGTATTATTCAAAATTTTTAAATCACGTTTATCATTTTTTATAAATACGGCACTTTTTCTCGAGATAACGTAAAATACTCTTAAAATGCTACAAGAAATAATACCGATCAGTACATAATACCAGTATTTCGTCCAAAATGGGAAAAGTTCGGAAAACATTTTGAAAGGAATGTTAAGTTACAAATATCTACTTAATTCTTTCGATGATATGTGACGAATCAGTATAAAGAAACGTTAACGCTGTATAAAGAAAGAGGCAATAGGAGTGGTGGGAAGCATTTGACCTGAAATATCTGACTTATCACTCGCTCATGAGTGCACAATGTACCCCATCGCTCTCGCTAAACATTTATTAGTTTATTCCTGCCGATTATTTACGATACAACGAAATACTTAAGTACTTGTGCGTTTAAATATTATACTTAGCAAGTTTCTAATTTTTTAAGCGCGAAAAGAACAATGAGAAGAATTTACAATTCTTATCATACAATGGTGATCGAATTTTATCTTTCAAAACTTCCGTTAACGCAGAAGAGATCGCAATCTATTACGAACGTTTAACAACTTAAGCAGTATGGTAACGATTTAATTATTCAGCGACAGAGAACTCAGGCTATTAAGAATTACTATAAATCCATTGACGCTGGCTTAGACAATGACCTTTATTAACATCTTACTGTTGTTAAAAACTTGTTATTACAAATAAAGTCACTGTTTACTTTTAACGATCATTGTTTATTTCAAGACAACATCGTG